CAGAGAGAAACTCGTTTAACAACAGGTATGTATTTTATTATCTCTTAAATAAGCTATACTTTTAGAATTACCACAAAATTCGTTTTTAGCCATTTTTAACGAGACGCAAGAAATACTATAAATAAATTGTTATTTTTTCCATTTTGCAGGAATAAGTTATTAATGTGGGAAGTTAAAGTTTGTCTAAGTCTAAGAAGTCCCATTAGGAGGTGCCTATCACCGTTCCCGTAACCTTTGGGCCTAGTGCTCTAATTGCTAGAAGTTGTCCAGGCCGAATGTTGGACCATCCCTCCCACCTCCCGTTAACTTCCCAAACGAACTTGGTACTCATTTGTCGACCGCGGAGGGATGTAAGGCTAAGTTGAGCTATCACCAGCTACCCAAATCGAAACCATATTAATATTTACCTTAATATATAATGTGTTTCGTTTTTTTCATAAATTTGATTCCAACACAAACATGTATTTAATATTAACGAACTATATCAAATCCTAATAGAATAAGGATTTCAAGACAAAAGAAATAATTTCAAATACTGCATCCTTAATATATATAGTTTAAAGAAACCAAGGTATGATGTAGTTGATGAATTATATCTATAAGAATTATTCTGAACATAGAAACAAAGATCTGTTAAGATATAAATCTAAATGAAGACATTGGAATTAATAATTTTTAAAATTAAATATCTTCATACGAAAAAAAAAAAATTCTGTTTGATTGTTTTGATAATCTGTAAACAAATATACAGAAATAAGTAAGCATAGAAATTAACATAAGTATAAGATATACGCAAGAATAGTTCAATTTTTTTTAAAAAAATTCTTATCATTTTATTGAGTTTAAGTTAATAGAACTTGAAATGCATAATTTAGTCATTCCCATTTAGTTTCTCTAGTTTAGCATATAATAGATACATATTTATTCTTGAGGAGGAAAAAATCTTGTGTTATATGAGTTTTCTAATAATTTTTTCTTAAAAAAAAATACATTTGTCTCAAACAGCGCTGTAAACCAAAAGGATTAGAACAGGTTCGCCTTATTCGACGGATATTAAATTGTTTTTTGTTTGAACCAATCCTTTATCTGATTACGCATTTTAAGATAAGACTGAAATGAACTTTATTAAAAAAAAAAATCAGAGCAGAGCAGAATCAATGCATTACTGATACTCTGTTCGAAAATTATGAAACTTCTGTAATTTTGATCCCCCCTAAAATATTTTTAACTCTTTATTACTGTTTTTTAAATCTTTCGTCAAATTGTTATTTTCTTCTTAAAGCTATATTCACATAATGTTAAAGAAAAGTACTCAAAATTGGAAAAAAATTTCAAATAAAAAATGCTGGAACATTAATATCACATTCTTATATTGCTATACTTTAGAGAAGAGTATATTTTGTAATACTACCTTTTTGTGTATGAATCATTCAATTTTTCTGGTGTAAAAATGAGGTTTATATTTCATCTTTTGCACTGTAATACTTTGCTTTTCAAATGCTCCAACTTATATTACTATTTCTTATTATGTCCAGGTAATTGCGCTTTGGTCAAAAATTCTATAAATAATCAAGCATATAATTATAGAATTAAACAATTTTAATGCGTTTCAAGAACGTGTATTGACAGCATCCTATAGAAATAAGTGAAATTTGAATTAATATTATCATTAAAATCTTCCAATATTCACCAAAACGAAATTTAAAAAAAGTTATTTTAATGCATTACAGTAGTCTTTTGTGCATGCGTAAATATAAACCAGAGAAAAATAAGCTTTTATTTAAAAAAAAATTATCTCAGCGTTTCAACATTACAATCAAGTAAATTTAAAATACGGATTAAATGTTGATTAAAATACGGTAGTAATTCTCATAACAACAGTTCTTATATGTTATTATTCTATAATTACATACAGAAGCCTATATTATTTTGTTAAAGATATCCAACTGTTATTTATAAAACATATTCGTATTTTATAATGTGCTCAACAAACTTACAATTAACTCCTTTTGTAACGTCGTGCCCCCAGAATTTGTGGAATGGCTCGGTAGCGGGATGGAATCACACAGCTTAAGTAAAATTACTTCTTTTATTTACAATTGTTAAGAGTTATTCTCAAGTTACATGGCGTTTTCGTCTTTTTACTTTTAACAAAACGTCATCAACAAAATATCACGAATAGATCAGTAAGAATCCAGTCAATAAGAGATAAACGCTAAGTGTCCAGCTAATTAGCATAAATAGCGAGAATAGATGAATCGTAAACTCTCTCGCTCTCTCCTCGCTGGATCGTCTCTTTCTTGCTCTGGTCGCAGGATTCCCGCTCGTTCCCTTTCTTTTTCTTCGTCCTTCTTAAATATTCAGGGTAAGGATGTCTCACGCCCCCTTCGATTCATTTTCATTTCCGATTGGACGGCTACTGACTTTCATAGACACCCTCTGTCTCTGACCTCCAACACCATTCGTTGTTATCAAACAATATCCAGTTTAACTCACGGGCACGTAGCTGCCACATGTTGGACGTCAAACAAATAGGCCCTACATCCCCATGTCATAGTTCACAATTCCTCACACAGGTAGATCATCCCTGCCACATCTGTGTAGCAGAGTCATGTGTTCGGGAATGCACTAAAGTAACTGAAACCAGGTGTGGCTCATTTATTGCCCACTTTGGAGAAATAGACTTTTATTACGTCTTTGAGTAAGGAGTAGGGAAACAAAAACGGAAGTTCAATACAAATGCTTTTGGCGGGGAATTATCTTTTGGCTTCATTACAGATGTCTCGGGGGGGGTATTAAGAGACTACGTTACACCTTCAAAGTATTCTCCTTGGGGTGCCACACACTTCTCCCAACTAATCTACCATTAACGGAAGCAACACTGGAAAGCCCACAAGGGCTTATTTGATGAGTTGATTCTTAATTAACGTCGAACTGAGAAACAACATGATGACTATTGGCGACGGACCACGTAATCTTGAATCTTGATCAAGTGACGAGGAGGACATTTCAGCTGTCACCTCCATCTCCAAACTTCGGCATCACGACAACAGGTGGGCTTGGAACCTCAACCAGATTTAACGTGTATCAGTCTCACAACACGGCGGGTCTTAGGGCTTCAAGTTTCATTCCTGCAACTCGACGAAAGCAACGTCGGCCGCGAATCCACGACCATGTTCTCTAGACTTCCCCTTGCAATGGCACCCAGTTGGTCCATTAGTCTTTCTGGACTGAAATCTGTTTTTTTTTTCGCTTGATTTTTGATTTGTTTCCATTCCGAAATTTATGAACTTAACATAACACTAAATGCAGTAGCCCTTTGGAGCTTTTTACTTTTTCTTACATTTCGGAGATCTGGCGGTGATATAAAGCCTCGGTAGGATGGGGAAACCTGCATACGACTTGGATCGCCTACGTGCAAACACCCAACCGTGCATTCTTAGCTTCATTTGCTTAAAGATAAAAAAAAATTACGTTTGATACTTTTGAGCGCATAATTATCAATACTTAACCTCCATCCCAATTAATCACCCTTAAAAGTTTATTTATTACGGATATAACATCTGCATCAACTTTTTACAGGCATGCAAAATATATAATTAATTATGAGTGAGTGAGTGAATGTAAAGTTTATTGGCGCAAGAGCCAGATATGGCTATGCAACGCCAAACAAGATTCAACTGCGGCCTAGACGTGAAGAAATTGAAGAAAAGACAAAAACTGGTCGACAAGAATAAGGGACGAAAATAGAGAAGGATTACTAGGGTAACCTGGAGGCGCGTCACCCGTGTTTACTAAAGACAGTAAATCTCAAGGGAAAGAAAATGATCACAAGGGGGCCTCGGGGTGATGATACTCGAACTTACCTAAAGAAGGCAAGTCCCCAAGGTCCCCTGATATAATCCCCAGGGGCAGGGGGCCCGGCGATACCCCCAGACACTGGGTACCCATTTTAGTCGCTTCTTACGACATGCATGAACTACAGTGGGACTATTCTGTCATACCCGGTCACCACACGGGTCTATAATTAATTATAAGAGTGAGAGAGTATTGTAAAGTTTTTATTACACTATTAAAAAATAACAAAGCTATCTGGATGATAATTGATAATTATGTACGTAATATTATAAATTACAATTAATGTCCATTTATTTGACCCATAATATCATAAAGTTTTAATATTATCCTGGATCATCGTAAAGTTTTATTACTAAAAATAATTGAGATTTAAACTAAATTTTTATTTATTATTCTTAGAACTTTTCTACATAGTGTCATCATCCAGAGTTATACAATTCTCCCAGTATTTCTTGACCTTCCGAAGGCCATCATTGTAGAATTCACCAGAACTCTATTTATTCCATACTGAGGATTACATCAATTTACGACTTCCTGAACCAAGAAAATAAACCTTAATAGCTATAATTTACAAAGTTATGTACATAAAGATCAATTAATATGCAGAATACATTTTATTCAGATATACCGATTATTTCTAGTAATAATTAAAACTTTACTGTAACTTCTCCGTATTTGTGAAAAATATTGATATACTGGGCAAAAGATTTTAACATTAAATGGGTGTTTAATCACTTTAAATTACTAGACAGTTAAGGCAGAGATTTGGTTGCAGGATTTCAATTTGACACCCATTCCTCTCATTGTACTTATGGAGTTCGTACATTCTTGTCTGTAAGGCACTCTCAGCCATTTAAATAGGAACTCCAGGGTCTAAGTCAGCCTTTTTATTCTCATATACAATATTAACATCTTTTTGCCTCACCCTGTACGTCGACTTATTAATTCTTTCGTTACGTCGCACTTAGAAACGACGCAAAAATTATTGACGATGGACCTTGTCATTTTGGAACTCGGTCTAGTGACGAAGATGACACTTGAGCTGGTTTCGCCCTCTCCAAACTTCAACACTGCGTCAATAGGAGTACTAGGAGCTTCGACAAATTTTAAGTGCATTACCTTCCCCCTACACGGTGGGTCCCTGGTGATATCAGGACTCGAACCTACGACTTGAAAAGAATAGAGCTGGTAGTGAATTCGTAACCATAACCACTAGGCTACCACAGCCATATTAATATAGATTTTGTATAGAATAAATTTTTACAAAAGGATTAATTAGATTGGAGCTTGAATATTGATAAATGTGTCTCGGTTATCAATTAAAAGGTTTTAATTAATGTTGTAAGAAATTGCTTATAATATATTCGTCACTTCAAAATTCAATGTATATGATAAACAACATTATTTATTTTGAAAGAAATTTGTAGGATTAGTAAAATAAAAAAATTACATTTATCACAAATTATTTGCTTCATTTCAAATACATTATTCGATTGTTTCTGATAATTACATCTATAATTTCAAGCTGTCGCATCCAACGTAAATACGTGTAATTTGAAAAACCTCTGCGATCAACATTTATCGAAGAGTATGAAATAGACTGGAATTGTTAAATAAGTATTTTATCGAAGAAAAATAATTTGCATTCTTCAATCGCATTATATTTATTTATTTTGTCCGAAATCTGCTTGACTCTATCTGAAATTACTTAAAATATTGATTTTATGAAATTTCTGACTCTTTAGGAAAAGGTTTTACATTTCAAAAAAATTCGAAAATAATAAAAAGTTCTTTCTCAATGTACATATCAATAATAATAGTTAACTTGCCATAACTATAACAACTATGAGAAAAAGAATTAAAAAATCAAAATTATTAACCGAAATAAATGTATACTGATATATTTCCTTTACTTTGTACAGTGATAGCCATCTATCAAAATATTTTTTTTAAAAAAGGGTATTTTTGAGATTTGAGAATTCAAAGTTATACTTTTTCTTAAAGTCATACCGTCAAAATTACACCCGATAGAAAAATAATTTAACACATAACATAATACAACAAAATGTGTTTAACTGTATTTATTCCAACAAAAGATCTAACAAAATAACCACGAAAAAAAAGCTCTATTTGTTTCAACCTTTCTTTCATTTGAATGAAACTAATAAGCATGACTGCTTAGAAAGCCAATCAGGTGTCATTTTCTTTTGTTATTGAGCCAATCATTTCACATCCCAAGGATTCTGGAATGTGAAATTTTTGTATTTTCCAAGGATTCTGTCAGTATATTAGATTATTGCTTTTAAGCTGGTTGATTTTTTTTTGTGTGTGTGTTCTTTCATTTAGAGAACTTATAAAAAAAATTTCTTTTTTTTTTTTGGTGAGATAAAATGTAATAAAATTAAATAAAGGACCCAAACAGTTAAATGGAAATCCAGAAAGAGATCCAAAAGTGCACTGTTAAATGAAAAAAGGCTACAATTGTAAAGAAATAAAAGGACACTTTGTGGAAACATAATCAAAGGTTGCATTTCCAACTTTTTCCAGACGTACCAGTAGATTAAATCTCTACAAAACAAGGTCGATAAATGCAGAAAAAGGTGTACAACAGCAAATGATGATAAAAAAAAATTAGGAGACTGTGCCTAAATGACAGAAAAAAATAATCTCGGAAAATGCAAAACGAAATGGCTGAATATAATGTGAAGTTTATTGTCATATCTGTTCGACTCAGAGTACAGGAAATTGGTCTCAATGCTAGAATTCTACGAAAAAGAATTTATTTTTATCTCTCAAACAAAGGTTCAAAAGATGAAACTGGACTAAAACACACGTTGAATGTACAACAGAACAATGGGAAAATGCTATTAGAAGCGACGAAACCAGAATTACCCAATTTGATAGTGATAATATAAAATACGTTAGGAGAAGAAAGGGGGAAGATTTGCACCCTGATTGCATAATACTCAACGTTGAACATCCAATTAGTGTTATAATCTAGGGTTGTTTATCAGCAAAAAACTGTTGGCAGAGTTCGTGAGATTAATGGGAATTTAAATGCTAAAAAATACAAAAATGAAATACTTGAGATTAAATTGAAGCCTTCCACACATGATCTTTTCAAAGATTACGCGTCGTTTATTTTTCAACAGGATTTAGTTTTACGTCATGTTGTAGTATGCAAAAAGCGTTTGCAAAATCATCACATTTTACTATTGGTTTTTCTGGGAATAGTTAAACCTTAGACGATCGAATATTTATGCAGCTGACCAAAGAAAAATGCTAAACAGAAGTAATCCAGTAACAAAGCGGAATTAATAGAAGGAATAGTTGGTCACGTATTATAACAGATTTAAAATTGGTCTCGTATTATCACAGATGCAGAACTAAAAAACTTGGTCAAACATGGGAAGGTACTCTCAGGCTGTAATTGAAGACTAAAGATTCTAAAATAAATATTAATTAACGATGTGAAAAATATTGCATACCTCCTTTTTCTACAAGTTTCTATTCATTACTTAACAAATTATGTTAAGTAAAAATTCCTTTACAAAACTTATTGCATTACATTCTCGATAATTTATCCTTTCATTGATATGGAATTTTATGGTATTATTCCAAAAAAGAGGAATTTTGAACCACCAAAGTTTGATTTTTTTTTCTTTGCAAGGGTTTCCACAATTTTGGCTTTTAGTGTAAATTTCCCCAACCAAAGAGAAAAAGAGAGAGAATTTATTTTCAGTCCTTAGCTTCTTCCAAGTAATCAGAGAATGACTGTGGTGAAAATCATTAACTAAGTTAAAAACTCGAATTTATCCCAATGATAAATACATAATTATATTTTAATATACAACTCATGTTATATCAATGACTATAATCAGAAGATCTGGTACATGTTTTTAAATTAACATCTTGTTAAATGGATTGGTCGCATAATTCGTTAACTGAATGTATTAGTAAATTTATTTTGAACAATTTATTTTAAGCTGTGGGTATAAATAGTGGAGTCCAATGTATGCAAAATATATATAACATCTGAATAGTAATATATTTTAGTATAGCGAGACGTAATTACTAAAGTGTTAAAAAATCTCCGAAAATCTTGCTTGAAAATCGTACATATAGTTAAAATCGTCTGGAAACATTGATCAATATTTTTACGACTTATATAAATATGTGGCAATACTCAGGAATTTGTTTTATTTCATCGTCTGAAAAAAAAAAAATGTGTTAAATAGTATAAGAATTTCCACTTCATTGACTTTTCAAAATGTCGAATGTAATTGAACAAAGAACATGTACTAAATTTTGTTGTCGCGATAGAATTTCTACTACAAACACATTTGAAATGTCACAAAAAACTTTTGAAGACGACTGTTTGTCAAAAACAACAATATTTGATTGATATAAAAAGTTAAAAGAGAATAGAGGTTAGTGATAAGTCGCAATGATTCGTGATTAGTCACAGGTTTAGTGCATCAAGATAATGCGCCTCTATAAAACACTATTAGTATTCGTGACTTTCACAAACCCTTTAACAAATATGCTCCGCAAGCTCCATATTCACCCAATATGGCACTTCATGACTTTTTCTCATTACCGCGATTCAAATTGCCGCTCCGTAGCCACCATTTTGAGTCCATTAAAGCAATAAAAGAATATTCTCAAAGGGGGTTCAGAAATTCAAAAGGGGTTTCACAGAAACGTCTTTAAAGCATGTTTTAAAAAATTGGAAAAAACTGGTGAAAGTACATTGAATTGGAGGAGATTACTCTGAAAGAGATGTAATAGCTTTTGACCAATAATTCAGCAACTAATTCACTTTTTTGTTTTATAATAACATTCCAGATACTTTTTGATCACAGTAATATTTAAAAGAAAGCATATTTTTACAATCAGATCTCGTCTGGTTTTGATCTTTATTAGAATATGCTTAGTTAAAAATTTGAGAATTTTCTTTTATTCCATTAAATTTCATTTTCGAATAATAATCGTACACCTTTTGCTCCCCTTATGACGTATGCTACTTACAACCATCCACATTTATGACTAGGAATGAATCGGGTGGCTTTAAAAGGTAATGGATAACCTATGCGTTTAAATTTTTTTATTTTTTTCACTTATGTATGTAGTACAAAAGAAGCAAGAACATTTTTTTTCATAGAAACAATTTTTTTTATAGAAGAAGCAAGAATTTTTTTATACGCCTGAGAATTTCATGTGTTTGCTATGTGATGTAATTTCATGTTGTAGTTATTTTTGTTTACAGTTCGTACAATATAGTTTATATTATGCATTTTTCACATTATGTACATTAATTATATGTACATAGGTTTGATTTTTTGTATTTTATGTACAGTTTTTATAACGTACGTATGCGGAATTTCATTTATTGTTTAATATAATTACGTGGTGTAATTTCATGTTGAATTTTTACTTACAGTATGTACAATAGAGTTTATAGTACGTATAGTTTATAAGGTATGTATGCATATACGTATGAGGAATTTCATTTACTTGCTATTTTTACATAACGTAATTTCATGTTACATTTTTTTATTTACAGTACATACAATAGAGTTTATCTTACGTATTTTTTTTCATTATATACAGTAATTATACGTATAAAGATTAGATTTGCATATTTTATGTATGATTTTTATAACGTATTTACGTATGTACGCCTGTGGAATTTCATTCATTCTATTTTTATGTAATGGAATTTCATGTTGTGTTTTTTTTTTCACATTACTCACTGTAAAGTACGTATTATATATATTTCAAATTATGTACAATAATTATATGTACATAGAATTTTATATTTTGTAGATTTTTGTATTTTTTGTACTATTTTGATAACTGGTTGAGGAAAAATAGGGTTGAAAAATTTAAATCCGACTTTTGGAGCATTATTCGGAACGATACTCAGTCTTAAGTCGAAGATACCTGGTGTATATTTGCATGTAACTGTATTTATGAATGATTTTTTTAAAACATTTCTTGCCATGTATTTGTATTTATTAAATTTTAATTCAATTTTTATTTCTATATTTTTCGATTATCTCTATAAGTTTATACAATAAATTAGCGGATTTTCTCTGAATTAGTGTCATACAAGTTAATATACAGCTTTCTAGAATCAAAATAGCTAAATCAGGTATGCTCAAAATTTTATCCTAGGATAGCAACTTTTTATTATTATTATTAATATGATGTTAATTGCA